AGCATGTGAGCCATTGGAAAACGCTCCTCGCTGATCTCCGTCAACGACGAACTACGAAGGCCGTAAACGAGATCATCGCCCCAAAGCCTCGCACGCAACACAATTAGTTGCACCTCCAAGTCTCGATTTGTCGGGGGAGATTGTAAGGATTGCGTCGACAAACTTGTCGATGCAAGCGCGGCCAGCCGATGCTGGAGCACTGCATAGGAGCTGCAAAGAAAACAGACGCAGTAAAGGAGAAACATGAGATTAGCCTTTACACTAGCACAGTGAACTCAACGTAATTCACTTTCCGATTTGCCTCCGACTCCGACTCCGACTTCCGACCGCTACATTTGGTAGCACTTGTTGGTCCTCTGCCTCGCCGTCAGCTTCCTCAGCATCATCCTCAGCCTCCGTTTTCTCTGCCTCGCCCGTGATCGGTTTAACGAGGGTATTGCTTTCCAGAGAAGTGAAAGCACTGTCGGTATTGGTTGTGAGTCTGCTCTACAGCTGACCCGGCAGTTTCTTGTGAAGGTCCAAGAAATCAGTTTTTGAGGGATATCCGTTTCGAAGATCTGTAAATCTTGCCATCTTTATGGAGGTCTGATTGTGTCAATAATTCCGACCTTTTCTGGAAGGGTGACAACTGATTCGGAGAAGACAGTTGCATCCATCAACGTTCGTCAACCGTTCGTCATCCGAATGTTCGGCCAAGCGACTGTTGAAGTTCCGACCCGACCTTTCAGTGCATGAGCTGTGTCAGCAAGAAGATCAAGAATCAGACCAAGAGTGGGTACACGACTGTTCACAGTTATAAGTGTACTCTGATCCGAGATCCGAACAGATCCGACCAGGCACGTCAAGACTTGGTTGACGCGATAGCCAAGGCCCGTCGCATCTGTGAAGTGTTGCAAAGCCAGACCAGGTGTAAAGTCGCTGTAGGCAAAACCGCCAGCAGCGTACTCAAGTGTGTAAACTTAGCACATCACTCCATCGTTGAAGCCGAACTGAGGTTACGTCTCAGATCGACATTCTGTTTCAGCGTCAAGTCCTAAGAGACAAGGAACGTTCCCAGCAAGAGTTACCTTGAGGTAATTACAGAACTTCAGGAAAAGTCAAGATCTAATCTACTTTTGCCGACTGTATTTTACTCGTCCAATCAGTGCCAAGAATGAAAACAAGTTACATAACAAGCAACAAAAACAAGAAATAAACAAAACAAAAGATGTGGAGACAATGGCACAAGAAGTAAATCCGATGGAGATGATGATGCACATGCTGCAAGAGCAACGGAACATGATACAACAACAGATGCAAATGCAGCAAGACATGATATCAGCCGTTCGTCCGGCACCGCGAGACAGTAACACTCCGCGTGAACTGCGGGCAGAAGGGATATCAGCACCGAAGTTTGATGGCAAAGGAGATGTTGCAAACTTCTTCTTCCGCGCCAAGCTATTTTTGTCTTCGAAGAACATTCCGTACGATGACGAGGCACCACAAGAGAGACCGTTGGCAATCCTTCTGCCAAGTCTCACTGACTCCGCGGCAGCATGGTTACGAGAGTACAGTATCGAGCACAACAACATCGCGTCGGTTACGCACCTTGAAGG